CAGAAGGCCCACAATTATAACAAGAACATCAGAGAACACAGTATACGAGCTTATTTTAATTTTACATTAATATGTGATAAATTAACATAAATCAATGTCAAAAAAAGTGAATATAGAAAAAATTAAAAAATGTATGTTTGGTTTTACATCATATTCAGAATTCCATTATTTGTTATTATAATTAAGAATGATTATTACTTCATTCCATACAAAATAGTACTTGTTTGACTTATCTATTTGATGAAGAGAACTAACTTTAAGGTTAGAAAATTTTAATTTCTTATATAATAAGCACATGTTCACTTAAATATTCACAGTAGCATTGCATTGCGAGTCAGTAAAAGTACATAATGTATCACAGACTGTTGATTTACAAGGGAAAGCATTAACAGTGCCTACCTGTTGTTTGAAAAGGAATAAAAATGTATTTGTCCTAGATTAATGCATGAATATTCTCCACATTCAAACTGAGCAGTCATCAGATTTTAGCTGGGAAAACCCTTAAGTGCATTTTCAAATATGTGGAGAAAGTTTAACAAATATTTGAACTATGGTTAAATGTTAGTAATACTGCTACCTTAATACTTGATAATCAAATCTTTTTATATAATTACAGAAAATATAAGTTTTCTTAAAATATAGTTTTCTTCCCCACTTTTCCTTCCTTGTACTCTCCTAATCACAGAAAGTGTGTGATGAGAAATAAGAGTCTAGAAAATGGTTAATTTGGTGGTTCTAGTAATTTTTTTCTCTCTGTATCAGAATGGCTACAATTTCTTGTATTGCTTCTTTCAACTGTTCAGAAATCAGTAATTATAGTGGATTTTTAAAAAGGAAATTAGATCAGTGAAGAAGATCATTTTTCAGTCTAGCATTTCAATATCAAAGGAATCTACTGTCTATGGTCAGGGTGAGTGAACTTAATAAGTTTCAGGTGGAATATTCCTGGTGAAGGACTAGTTTGGAAGTATCTAAAAAGGTCTGTTGATAATAGCAGCAATGCATTTTCACCAAACCCTCAAATTTTCCAAATTTCTTTTAAAATTAAATTTTAGTCAAAGTTTTAAACATAAAGGCAGAAATAGGATGAATACAACACGACAGAGAGTGAAAGTCTAAAGAACATGAGATCTAGAGCCACTTATCGACCAAACAATCTTGGACAAGTCATTTGAGCCTTCTAAACTTAGATTGTTCAATCTCTAAACTTCAGGTGGAACTAACACTTCATGAGGATGTTTTAGAAATTAAATACAATATAGGCATGATCTTTACAAAGTAGAATATAAATGTTCTACGTAAATAAATGAAAAACTTGAAGTGGTATTTGTTATTCTGATCACTGCATAATTACCATCTCTGGTATTTCAATATTCTATGCATATTACATAGAAATTCTACAAACTACACTGTTTTGCTTTCCCTTGTGTGTGTGCATGTGCATATATATATATATACATATATATATACATATATATATATGTATATATATATGTATATATATAAACTTTTTAACATAAATGATACCATTTTATGGTATAGTTCCCATAAAGGTCTATACAAGGCCCTTAAAATTTAAAAAAAAAAAAGAGGATTTTTTAAATTTGGTTTATAGTCGCACAATTTTATGGCATTTAAGAAAAACACTTTGACAATTTGATGATGAAACTAAATACTTAACCTCCCCCACCCCAAACCCAGCATTAAGAGATCACACCATAGAAACAATTTACCAGAAGAGATACTACTATGGTTTGTTTAGTACAGTCAGTTCACAAATGGTGGAAAGATAGAGTATTAACACAATATGCCAGAATCACCACTTTGCAAATTTCACCAACTTTTAAAAAAACATGGAAATCACTTCTCACAAAGATCACTAACACTAACACATAAGACATTCAATTACACCTAAAGTGAAAATTCAGATTCACAAAACTCAAAATTATTAGATTAAATGTTTTACTTAGTTTCTCCACTAGTCAAAATATACATTTCCTATTATGACAGAGGCCTTTAAAAATTGCCCCCTTTTCTGAATGGAAGGGATATAAGACTAAACTTCTGGACAAATAATCTCAGTATGACAAAATATTTCTGTATTCATCAAATGGATTGCTAGCATTTTAATAATTTCTCTAGTGTCCAAATTCTAGCATTCTTCTAACCTAACCTCTTTCTACCATAAAACCAGCATCCAGAATATATCCTATTTGTCAGTGGGTACAGTTACCTGTTAACTTTGTTGTGCAAAAGCTATTACCCTTCTTTTTTTAACTGTCCGCTAATGCCAAGCAAAAGTGTTTGGGTTATCCCTGAATTTTATTTCTCACTCCTGAGCAAAATTAGTTACAGTCTGGCTCTATTAGGCCTCCTTTGTATCCAGATAAATTCGCAAAGTTTTATGTTATACTACAGTCATTGCTTCTGGGACCAAAAGGGGATTAACTTTTAAGTGTGACAAAGATGTACCTTACAATCAGCTATAGTTCATTGGTGAGCACAATATTTTGATTCTGATATGCTAAATGTTTATTAAACTACAAAAATTTAAAGAGCAACTTGAACAGACATTCTGTTTAGGTAACTAACTCTGTATTCCAAGATAAAATAAGAAATCATAAGTAAGCTATGGTCAGAATGAAAATAAGATTTACCTTTTTTAATGTCTTGTTGAGGTCAATTAGTAAAAGTAGAAACATGAACATTTGGATTTGCAATCTGTTTAGTCACGTAAGTAGAGAGATGTGGCATCTTAGCGACGGGGGCGGGGGCAACATGTACATGTATGCATAAATTATAGCCATCTTAAAGTGTCGTAGAATTTTTGAAGATAAAAAGAAACAGAGATTACTAGATTTAACTTCTTCACTTAACAGGCAAAGAATTTGGGGCTCTGAGAAGTTAAAGGGACTTTCTTGGGGTAATTGAGAGTTACTGGCAGAGCCATTTACCTGCTTAAAATCTCTCTTGTGTAAAAAGAATCAAGAGATCCCTATTACTCTTTCTTCCACCTTCCCCTACTCCAAACGTAAAATTTTGAGTGTGCAATAAAGCTCTGAACCATTTTAGCATTTCAAATACAATTTGAAAATCACCTTAACATCAAATTATATTGAACATATATTTAACAAATATCTTCCCCACTTTCTAGCTATTAATCTGCTTCCCTTCACCAGTGATTTCTTCTTTACCTTTTCATGTTCCCATTACAGATGAGTAAAAATTCTTAGAGGATAAAGAATCCTATTTCCTCTTCTCACACCCAATTGAAGAATGATCAACTTGATACTTTCAAGGCTTAAGTCTTATTTCAATTTATTCTTTTCTTCAGAAATGCAAAAGATAGCATTCTTCAAAGCATTTTTTCAAGAAATGTGCATAACAAGGTTTGGAGGCTGAAAAGGGCTTTGGGGATTACTGAACCAGCACACCTGGCAGACTGAAGCCTAGCAATGGTTACTGTCTTACCTAGGGTCCCACAGGTAGGAAGTGAGCAAGAATTCTGTCTCCCATTATCTAGGCTGGTACTATTTCCACTCTGTATCTGGTGTGACAGGTTTCTCATTTGATACTATTCTGTGCTTCTACTGTAAAAGTTCAGGTTTTGTGTTTATTTTAAGCTGTAGCTTATGATAATGACTCAGATATGATATATACTATAAGTTGTGCCACTGGTGATTTATGAAGGCAATTTTTGTGTCTATTTTTGTAATACCTACCAATCCTTTCTAAAATATCTGAATGTCTAGAACTCCTATCACACAGCTGATCAGTTTCTTTCAATCGTCCCCATTGCTGTTATAGATTATTTTCTTGCCCACCAGGCTGTGATCGTCAGTTATGAGGATAAAGTTGGCTGCCATGGACTGGCTGTTTCCTGGGACAGTATCTCTACTACATGGGCTAACATAGAAAAAAAAATAAAGTGGGGGCTATATTTTAGTCACAAATCATCATGATTGAAGGTTCACATAGCTCACATTTGAGATAGTTGTCATTCCTTTACTTCACTTTTTCCTATTGTGATCTAGGCTTCAATTTTGATCACAAAGAAATTACCAGCAGATTGTGAAAAATTCATTGTAGACATTGCCTCAAAGAAAGTTACCTGGATTGTACCTCCTATCCATCTGTTTTGCTGCTAGTAGGTGTATGATTGTTTAGTTAATGATTCTTATATATTAATGAAATTCACCACCTGCATTTCCTTCTATAGGGCACCAAAAAGTTTTTAAAATATTGGCTTTGTCACTGAAATAATTTTATGGAAATTAAAATTCCATAAGTGTTCTTATCATAATTTAGCATTGTTATGTATTTAAGTAACAGGAGAGTGGTTATTTATGTGCTTATTCAGATGTATTTTGAAAATAAAATATGGAAATGAAAAAAGTCTTCCATATACTAGATTCTATATACTAAATGTTCACAGTTTGACTTTCCATAAGGCTTATCAAATAATATACAAATAGCTACCATTCTGCTGAAATGTCACAGTAAATACATTGATAATGGCACAGAAGTGAAATGTCCCCAAATAGGAAACGATCTTCATGACCTCCTAAATCTCTTTTCCAACTAAAATCTTGTTTTTTTTTTTCCTTTTAGTTGAAAAAGAGCTCCATTTCTAAAAGAATATAAAAATAGAAATGAGTCAAGGAATCTTTTCCACTTATAATTTTGAAGGAAAAGCTATAAACATCAGATGAAATATATAAGTATATATATATGTATATATATGTATAGCTTTTTGGAATGTGCTTTGTCTCACTACATCAAACATCCCATGAAAATAAAATTGAATTAATACATTATATATGAACGGTTTAAAAGTATTAATTAAATGTTAAAATTTTAGTTAATATATGACAAACATATAGTAAGTACTAATATATTTCCATGATGTTAAGATCAACTAAAACCTACCCATATGACTAATTTTTAAATCTATAATTTTGAATTAAAAAATAAAAGAATGTTTAATTGAGCAAGGCACATTTCTTTTGGGCAAGTCTGTCTTTAATATTACTTATCTGGGCACAGTGTAGACTTCACTTATTACATGTAAATGGGCTGCTCTATGTATGGGAGCCTTTGGTACAAAGCACATCTTCGCAAAATCAAACTTCACATGACTCAGAACACAGAACACAACACATGTATCTCATGATTAAATACAGTCCGGTAATTAATTAAAAACAAAATAAAACAGTAATAGTTAGCTTGTTAGAACCAAACATTTAGATTTTCTTCATCTGTAACACTGATTATAGTTTTCAGATGATTAGCTTTCATCAAAATGTCAAAAGGTTGAAATGGTACCTTATTTAACATTCTTCTTTGTATCTTGACCAGTATCTTTTATACTGCACATAATATGAAGAGAATCCTCCAGCTCTGAGCCATTTTCTTCATGTAAAGCATATGTTAGACACATATTATTTAATGTCAACTGAAATGAAAATATGTGCTGGCAGACAGATCACCACCCTCAGTGGTTTAACTGCCACTGCATTCTTGATCCAGGCAATTCAAAACTGAGTATTCCACTGGTTAGTGCTGCTGTACAGTTCTTTATGTGGGGCTCTTCAGGAATCTGTTGAATAAACAAAAACAAATAACCCAATCAATAAATGGGCTAAGGACCTGAACAGACACTTCTCAGAAGATGATATACAATCAATCAACAAATATATGAAAAAATGTTCATCATCGATAGCAATTAGAGAAATGCAAATCAAAACCACAATAAAATTTAATCTCACTCCAGTCAGAATGGCAGCTATTATGACAAACAACAATAAGTGTTGGCGAGGATGTGGGGGAAAAGGTACACTCATACACTGCTGGTGGGACTGCAAATTGGTGCAGCCAATATGGAAAGCAGTTTGGAGATTTCTTGGAAAATTGGGAATGGAACCACCTTTTGACGGAGCTATCCCTCTCCTCTTTCTATACCCAAAGGACTTAAAAATAGCATACTATAGGGACACAGCCACATCAACGTTTATGGCAGCACAATTCACAATAGCTAAACTGTGGAACCAACATAGATGCCCGTCAATAGATGAATGGTTAAAAAAATGTGGCATATATACACAATGGAATATTACTCAGCAATAAAAGAGAATAAAATCATGGCACTTGCAGGTAAATGGATGGAGTTAGAGAAGATAATGCTAAGTGAAGTTAGCCAATCCCAAAAAAACAAATGCAGAATGTTTTCTCTGATATACGGAGGCTGATTCATAGTGAGGTAGGGAAGGGGAGTGTGGGAGGAATAGAGGAACTCTAGATAGGGCAGAGAGGTGGGAGGAGAAGAGAGGGGCATGGGACTGGAAATGATGGTGGAATGTGATGTAGATTATTGTCCAAAGTACACGTATGAAGACATGAACTGGTGTGAATGTACTTTATATACAACCAGAGATATGAAAAATTGTGCTCTATGTGTGTAATAAGAATTGTAATACATTCTGCTGTCATATGTAAATAAAAAATTAATAAAAAAGAAAAGTTCAATCAATTTAATTTCCTAAAGGTATTAACCACATGTCAAATACTTTTAAGTTAGAAAAAATTTCAAATTATCTGAAATTATACATTCTTTTTCATTAATAATGATGCCCAAATTTGATCCAGACTTGTATGATAACTGGCTTTCTGAACATGAAAATTTATCCTCCTTCTTAGAACCATCTGAGAGGTTCTGAGTGTCCACTGATTTTTATAAAAATACATGTATTAATCTTCTAAATGTATTTCTGAGGGTATGCTTCTTTTCTGATCATCCTACTATGGTTACCTAAGATGAGAACTCTTCTAAATGGATAGAAAAAAGAGGCAGAGAGAGGGAGAGAGGGAGTGAGGGAGACAGACAGCCAGTCTCAGAATGAGTCCTGTACTGATGAGAGCCATGTTCTAGAGCCACAGGATGCTAGCCTATAGTTAGTTTCTTTTTATTACAAATAATTTTCAAATCTACTGATACTTTAAAATATGACCTCTGCACAGGTATGGGCCACTTTAAAGAATCATGAACTAGAACAACATCAGGTCCGTGGAGAACTAAAAAATAAGGGTGACAGGTTTGGTGCTCCTCCCACAAACTAAAAAAAAATTTATAGACAGTAATTTAAAAAAATATCAGAACATGACAGTGTTGTTTACTGCTATATCTAGAATCCAGAGTAGTCTTTGGCACACAATACATGCTTTAGATATAAAATGGATGAATACATCCTTACCACTTTTCAGCACCTAATACACAAGAAGTCCTCAGTGAATATACGTTGAATGAATAGAGGATACATTAAAATCATACTTATACACTCGAGAAACCTACCAGTTATATAATATAAAGGATACTTACAAAGACAAAAATAGAATGCTAAATCCAGGCTTCAATATGTGAATATTATCTACTGTAGTAGACAGAGAAGACCGTTTCCCATGTATACTCCTGGTTTTAGCAGATGTCTCCCAACCACATACCCAAAGATGATGATCTGTAATGTGAGTGTGCTTCTAATGGAAATTAAATACTACACACCTACTGTGTGCTGGGCAATCACCTACTAAAGCTTTCCTCATACGTCTGGATTCACTATGAGAGTTTGAAAATTACAATGGCGTAATAGTTATTAAAGACTACTAAAAAGAAAATAAAAGTACTATGAATGATCTGGCATTGATGTTACTGCCTGGTCTTTGCTCACTACTGCAATGGTTCTGGTAAGTTACACTTGACCTGCTGGTGTTCCATCCCTTTTATATAAGGGATTGGGCCTTTCTTTTCTAGCCTTCTGTGTTAATACCTGCCTCTCAATGATCTTGATATTATTAAATAAGTTTGGTATATTATGGCATTCTAATAGATTATAGGTGTGGAGGGAGTTGTACTTCATCAGAAACCAAAAATATAAGTAATATCTGAATACTAATCATGATGTTTATCCTAGTGGCTAAGAAGTGGGTTGAAAGGAAAATAATGAACATCTGAGTACATTATCAAAATCAAGGGCAGGGGATATAGCTCAGTTGGTAGGGTGCTTGCCTTGAATGTGCAAGGCTCTGGGTTCAATCTTCAGTGCCACCAAAAAAAAAATCACTCCATTAAAAAAAATGAGAGAAAAGAGATATAGTAGAAAATGGTGATCTATAATCAAATATATTTGATCAAATGAATGTTTTAGCATATAAAGCAAGAAAAGAGGATAAGAACAAATTTCAATAATTATCAGTTGTGAAGAAGTTAATTAATTCTCCACCAAGACCTAAATAAAAGAGACTCAGCTTCATTAACTATTGGCCTCACTAATTTGTATTTTATGAGGAAATTGTTGAAGTCAGTTTGAAACATGTAGATTTATGGGAACTTTGTTTTCATGTGTCTATACTGCAACAAATATTAAATTTCTTAGAATTAGCAGCACACCAATAAGTTCTACAAATTCTACTAACTAAACAGTGAGTAAACACAAAGACTAGTAAGATTTCTTGGTCATTGCATACAATTTTCTGATTGGGGTCTAGGAAATTATGTACTTTGGCGGGCAAAATAGATTTAAACTCACTTAGTCATTAAAGTTAGTAATATGCTAAGATGTGAACTTTGTCAAAAGCTGGGAAGTCATGTGTTATGCTTAGATATGAGGTGTCCCCCTCATTGTGTGTGAAACAATGAGAGAAAGTTAAGAGGTGAATGAAAGAAAGTTAAGAGATGAATGAAAGAAAGTTAAGAGGTGAATGAAAGAAACTTAAGAGATGAATGACTGGGTTATGAGAACCTTAACCCAATCAGTGAAATAATCCTGCTGGGAATTAACTGGATGGTAACTATAGCCAGGTAAGGTGTGGCTATAGCAAGTGGGTCACTGAGGGTGTGCCTCTGGGGCACACATTTTGTAGTGGAGAATCTCTCTGTTTCCTAATTCCCATTTCCCAAATGGCTTTCCTCAGCTGTGCACTTTCTGTCATGATATTCTGCCTCACCTTGGGTCCAGAGATATGGAGGTGGCCATCTGTGGACTGAGACCTCTGAAACTATGAGCCCCCAGATAAACTTTCCCTCCTCTAATTGTTCTTGTCAGGCCTTTTGGTCATGTCAGGGGAAAAACTAACTACAACACCATGGGAAAATGAGCTTTAAAATATAATCAATACTACTTTGAGCAATAATTAGGTTTAGTAATAGGTGTCATTCACAGTTACATGGTAAAATAAATTTCTCTTTTGAAATCAGTTAAATGTTTGCAGGCAAAAGGTCCACAGAACATAAACATAAAGCAAAACAGTTCTTACTTGGAGAAATTACCTCTATGAATCTTGCCTGTCCAGTAATTTTTTTTCCCTCTGGAAATCTTATTTAGCATGCTTTTCATCATGATTTTTTATAGACATTGTGTACTAGTGAATATCTGATTTTTATTGTTTGGGAGTCTTACATGAAATAACTAAAAATGCAATGACACTTGAGGTTGTCTCTTTACTATCCAGTGAAGTCCATGTTGAATTAAATAATAAAAATAAATAATGTCACAAATCCCTCATCCAAAACCAGAAAAAAATAAGAAATTAAAGCACTAATTTTAATTCTCTATTTTGTGTCATAAAAAAGCCCTAATCATTTATCCTCAGAATTCCTATGTGGGCTTAACTGATGAAATGATAAAAAGAGAAAAAAAATCCTAACTGCTATTGGACTACATATAAACTCAAGCATATCAATTTCCAATCTGTTGACACATTTGGTAAGGATGTGCAGAGGCAATAGCCAGGTCATTCTTTGGTCTGTTTTGCCTAAGAAATCCAGTAAAGCAGAAATTCAGAAGGGGTGTGGAGAAACTTGCTCTTTACTCATATTAGGAGAATCCTCCTTTCATGCCACAGAGGAAAGTACATCTGTCACAATATTACCTAAGATCATGGTGCTATCTGCAGTACTCAAACCAATGCTTTAGTTTCCATCATTCTATATTATACATTTCACTTTTCCAGAGCTTCCAGGAATCCCCCAACACCAACATATACAACTAGGTTGCTGAAGCAGTCTAAGTTTTGCCATTATTGAAGTCACTCTAACAATCTGCACTTATTTTTCATGGGTGAAATGTCCCTCGTCTCCTTTCATGTAAAACACAACTGACTTTTATGGTTTAGATATGAGGTGTCCCCCCCAAAGCTCACGTTTTAGACAATGCAAAAAGTTTAGAGGAGAAATGATGGGGTTAAGAGAGCCTCCACCCAAACAGTGCCTTAATCCACTGACATGGATTAACTGAGTGGTAACAGAAGGTAGGTAGGATATGGCTGGAGGAGATAGGTCACGGGTATATAGCTTTAGGGTGTATATTTTGTCCCTGGTCAGTGGAGCTCTTTCTACTTCCTGACTGCCATGTCTGTCCTAAGCTGCCTTCTTCTGTCACGCACTTCTGCCATGCTGTTCTTCCTCACCTCGGGCAATGGAGTCAGCCTTCTAGGGACTGACACCTCTGAAACTGAGAAAATGAACTTTCCTCCTCTGATTGTTCTTGTCAGGTCTTTTGGTCACAGCAACAAGAATGCTGACTAAAACACCTATCATATTACTTGATAACTGCATTTAAAAGTATTTAGTATAAGTGATTTTATCTGGTGAGGCCACATCAGTGATAGAGTTTTGTAACATGAGTCACTGGTGAATCTCTAATGCCTAATTCAATCATCTTTCATAGTAATGAAGACCTCATGGATTTTTAGGACTCATCATTAACTGAATTCAAATGTGAACGTACAGGCAAGTTTCTTTGAATGTCTATTAGATAGACAAGTCTCTTGGACACATTATTTGTTCTGATGCTGCTGTGTAATGTACCATTTATAAAAAGCACTCCATTAGCTATTGTGAAGCAGCCTAACTTTCAGGTACCCTTGCCGATGTCTAATGTTTAAGTTACATGAAGGAATTTTATTCCTATAACTGGGTAGTACTGAAGTATGTTTTACCGAATGGAAGCTTCCACAGTCACCTGAACATAAGGAATTTTATCCACAGCACCTTGTGAGGAATATAAGCCACACAGTAATGAAAATGAAGCACAACACAAAAATTTCAGACGACAAAAACAATTCCAATTGGGACAACCAGATTCTTTCTTTCATAGATCACTCCAATAAATATTGGTTGAATCCCGACTGTATTCCAGGTGCATTTCCAAGTCTTAGGGAATATAGCACAAAGAACACACAAAACTTCATGTCTTCGTGGAAGGAAAGGGGAAAAAATGACCATAAAACAAGTAAATGAAATATCTAATATATCAGAGGAAAAATTAAGCATAAAAAGGATACAGGGAATATTATGGAATTGTGATTTTAAACACAGTGGCCAGGGAAAGCTTCAATGAGAAGGTCACACACCTGAAGGTGATGTCATAAGGTATCAGATTTGATTTCAGAACATTCTAGGCCTTGGAACAGCAAGTATAAAGATTCCAGGGTGGAGCCTGCCTGCTGTGAGGGAACCAGAGTAAGGAGGCCAGTGTGGGTGCAGCACAGGATTACACAGGACAGTGGCAACCAAGGCCCAAAGAGTAAGAGAAGCTGAGTTAGGTGGGGTCCTGCAAGCCATTATACCGCCTTCGGTTTGTACTCTGTGTGGGTGATGATACAAAGAAGTAACATGACCTGACAAATGTTTTAAAAGGATCACTCAGGATGCCACAGGAAGAAGAGTCAAGCAGAGGAAAGGATGGAAACTGCGGGTGTAAGGTGTAAGGCTACAGAAACATCAGTGGGGATTTCAACAGATTCCCAAGAGACTTTGTGCTCCGACAAGGGGCGTGGGCTTAGAAGTTCACTGGAGGAGAAAAAGCTTCCCCTCCTCACCACCACAAGGGGTATGACCCTTGTGTCTACAGAATCCTGCATGAACAGACTTATTCACAACATTCTTCACCTAGGATAAAATATCATTTTTAACCATCTAATTGCTATATTATTTATTAATGATTAGAACCTCAGTTTTTTTTTTTTCTTTTCAGGACAGAGTTCCTATTCTGCACTATTTAGGTTACAACATAAATAACATGGTTCCCAAGAAAATGATGGAGCCTCTTTTCTAGGTCTCTCCTTTAAGGCATTTGATAAGAGATGGTACAAATTTGAAATCTAAGGAGGAAAAGTGAGAAAAAACCATGAAAACATTTCTTTGTAAAATGTATATTTCTTTACAATTTGGAAAATTAGTTCACGGCATCATTAAAAACCAAGGCATCCAGCTATCAACCTTCGAAAACTAGTCTGAATCATTTAGTTATATTTACAAGCTGAATATGAGTATATAAAGAATACTGATATCATTTTTTTTGCTATACAGCAATGGCCATTCTCTGGCAGGAAGTTGAGAGCTGAGTCACAACAGTGAGGTTGGGCTCTCTGTTACTTCTCCTTCCTTCTTCTTCCTGCCTCCTCTGATTTACCATTTTTTTCAAAGGTTGCCAACCACTCCCTGAAGATGTTTAAAAAACAAGTGATTTCATATATATATTTGCCACAACCAATTACAAAATAGAAAAAAAAATCCTAAAATGTGATCCCTAAATATCCTCTCTTCCCTGTTCTCATGCTCCTCACCTCTAACTCACAGTTTTCCGAAAGTCTTCAGACTGGGGGATACGTGTGCTTCTCTGCATTTCTTAGTGGGAGGGGTTATCACTTCTATTCACAGCTGAGAGGTGGGAAGAGCTTGGAACTGCTGCAGAGAATGTTGAAATTTTAAATGTATAGAAGTCAATAAATTAATAGTTATGGTTCTCACAGGAGTAAACTATTGGTATACACTCTATATGTTGTATTTAATCTACTATCAGCAAAGTAATCACTTGAGTAGGTTGTAAAGAAGCAAATAGCAAGTTTTATGTAATAACAAGTTTTACGTAAACAAACCATAACTTCAAATTTCTTCAGACTGTGCATTTAAAATTTCAATTCTGAAATTCTGTTTAGAAGTTTAGAAATAACTGATAGAACATTTTCTCATCTGTGTAGGTGTCTATGGTTAATGTCACCATAGTTGGTGGATATGTGAGTTTGGTATAACTTTAGTTCAGAACATAAAAAATAAAATAAAATCATAACAAGTGTTAGCTTCCATGTTTCTTTCTGGATTCACCAGCTGCAGGACACATACACCCCCACCAGGTGCTGATGGATGTGCCTGGATCCAGTCATACCCCTTACCAGAATCTCTTACTATACACTGACATATGTTTACTTTTTCAACCCCCAAAACACACAACTGAGCTCACCAGTGAAGCCTGTAGTTCGGCAAAGCTAACTGGCATTGGCAAATGTGACTCATTAGCATTTTTCTCTAAGCCCAAATCATGATCTACTTTTATTTCATAAATGACTTCGGACTTTAGTGAGGAGGCTACAGCTAGTACATGTGGCAAAATTATATCCTAATGTTTTTTAGCACACAGATTCTCTTAAGGATCCAGGGGGTGGTTTTGTAAAGCAATAATGTCACACATTTCAAGGAACTGGCAATCTCCTTTAGCTTTCAACCCTCCTGTTCTGAGCAATTTCTCCCTTCATAAAGGGAGAGTCAACATGTTTACACAGCTCTCTGGCGTGTTTCTCTGGTCTTCAGTAACTTAAGCAAAATGTAAGGAGATGGAAAAACAATAAGTTGCATAAGACTATCTTCGATTGTTGATTAAAACACATGAAAACAAGAAGTTTATCTCAAATCTGATAAATATCCATAGTCTTAGTAGGTGTCACTAGTAGACTGATTATGCTTTCTAAGATTAAATCCAGATAAACAAATCATAAGAAAAGAATCTTTTACTACTAGAAAAGTCCATATTTTTATTCAATTTAAATAATATATTTGATCCTTCTGGATAAAAAATCTGATTATTAAGAAAGGGTTAATTTTCATTTACTGAATGAATAGGTTTCTGAAGTATTTTCTTTATATAAATTCATTCATTAGTAACATGGGCTGAAGTCAAACCTAAAAGCATAAGGGGCTTATTGCTATTTTATATTTAAATCACTTAATATAAGTCATGGGTTTTGGAGCCAGAATGACCTGACTTTAAATTGTCATTGGATCTCTTGGAGTCTTAGGGAAATCATTTAACTTCAGCCATCTATTTCTCATCCTCCTAAAATGAAGTTAATGGCACTTACCTTGCAGAATTGACAACTGTCCAGGGCTTGGTTGACCCTTAACAAATGGTAATTATTACTGTTATTTACAAAGGAAACTGGAAGCCATTGATTATTTGTGTATTTCATATTCACAAAGCTTTGCATTAATCACACAATGCTTGTGAGTAATGATCACAAAATATAATCTTAGCAAAATCTCTGATGCATTCCAAGCAATTATTTTTTTAAGTGCTCTGTGTTAACATGTAATATTCACAAAAACATATAAAGTGCTACTTACAATCCTCATTTTACAAATAAGGAAACTGAGGAACAGAGAGGTTATGTAATTTGCTCAAGGTCATACAGCAGAGTCAGGATTCAAACCCTGGCAATATGACTGCACAGCTTATGCTTTTTAATCACTTCATTCAAAGCCCAGGCATAGAATTAATGTAAAATAACAGGCATTCACTCAACAAACATACCAGGTGCTACATTCTGTGCCAGGTACTACTATCCAAAAATCAAAACACAAACCTATAACCTTTAAGGAGCATCCAATATGGCGACTAGCAGCAATATACACCCTCAAAGTTATGACCCAAAACCTGTGCTATTTCTCTGGATAGAAAAAAAAGTTCCCTTTTTAATTACTGTCACACAAAAAATTATGGCATAGCTATAATTTCTTTATGGAATGAATTGAGGTTTCTATATTCTTTGCATAAACAGGAATAAAATTGTCACTGCACTTTGCTCATCTTTATGTTAAGATCTTTTAGGAACAGATAAAAATTATTTTTATATGATTGCTATATTATATCCAACATTATTATCAAAATGGGTCAAAAAAAAGAATATATGGTCATTACTATTCATTCATTAAAGTACATCAACATTAAAAGTAACTCAAACAAGAAACAAAGGAAACTAGATACATGAGTCCTCTTTAGATACACCTAGATAAGAACAAACAACAACCCCGTGACAGGGTACATACAGATTTCTTGCCTCTATTTTGTTTGTTGGTGCGGGGGGAGCTGGTCTTTTCTTTCTTCTTCCCCCTCTTATGATAGTCTCAATCATTATTCCCCATTGTCTCCAATGCACAAGTAATAAGGGAGGTGGGCTTCTGACAACCTGAAAATATTTTATGAGCTTTAAGATAGGTCTACTCTCATTTACTCTGAAAGGACAGAATAGTAATGTGTTATCAAAACCAAAAGGCAATTGTGCATAATGTATATTTGTGTGTGTGTGTATACATACATATACATAATACATATGCAAAATGATTACGTTTAAGTAAAACATTACTTTTTTCAATTTTAACCATTTGTTTCAAAGAACTGCACTACTGAATACTAATAAATAATTTATGTAAATGAAAACCGAACCAGTAATCTAACAACTGAAGATTCTGCCTTTTTTTCTTTTTAAAGGAGAAACAGGTTGTTCAGAAGCCAAGTGAGTAGGTAAAAATAATGGAATAATTTTCAGTTCAGTTTGGGTGAAAGTTATTGTGAAGAGAATTGATTTTTTTTCATTCTTTTGCAATAAACAATGAAACCAAATGATAATGGCAATATGAAAAAATGTCAGTTGCTGTAAATGACCTTTTAAGAGCCAGTTGGCAGATAATTGATATGAAATTATTGGTTTTGGAAGTCTCATTAATATACATATGAATGACATTTCCCTTGATCCCTGTACAAAGGACCACCCAGTGCTCACCTGATTCTGTTTGTCTGCAGGCAACCCTTAGCATATGGCCGACACTTGCAGGTGTTCCCTCAAGGTCTGGTTTCTTCCCAATCCTTCTTTTCGTTGATTGCCTGTAATTCCCTCAGTTAAAAATGTGCATCCTTTACATATTTGAAGTTTATTTAGCTTTTCAAGTGCTGTGATGGTGACAGGTTGTAGGACCTGTCTTTGTAATTTTTTTTTTTAAGTGAGGAAATCTGAAGGTCCCTTGTAGTAGTTTCAGGAACATGGAATCTCTCATTTGCTTATGTACAGAACACTTTTACATTTGCTTTTAAATTCCATTTGTTGGCTTGTCACTTCGTGGGGAAAGAAAACTGTAGAGAAGCATCTTTTAAAATTATTACCTAACACCTGGCATTTAATTCAGATCATGTCTTATTGTGGTTTACATGTAACATTCCAAAGATGATATTTTCCTTCTTTCAGTCATTATGGAATAACATCAATGATTTTCATAGCAAAAAAAAAAAATGCATTTCCTGGTTCTTTTCACCGCCTTTGATTCTCAGACCTAACTTTATTTGTGCGGTTTATTCAAATAGTGGTTTTCCTTATGAAATCACGTTAAGTAGGAACCATCTGGAAAGGTTACTGTGGAAACGGAAGGGGCTGGGGGTGGGGCTAGAGAGCAAAAGATGCCATGACAACCTTTTTCGGGTTTCCCAGGAAACATGGGTTGCTATGGGAACTGCATCAGTCAGGTCCGAATTAGTAACTTCTGCTGGAAGGGGTGTCTGCCACTTTAATCTTCTTGAGATACTGAAGAAGCTTATCTCTCACATGCATTAGGAAATTTTTTTGTTTCTCACCAGCGCTGAAAACATCTGTTTTTAGACTTTGATAGATGTTGGCTGGGACATATGCATAAATTTCACCAGAATCTGTCAGTCCAAAGACTTTCAAAATGCATTGCAAGCCCCAAAGAGTTAAGGTAATTAGATCAGGACGTTTTTGGGTATTTCCTTTTGTTCAAAGTTGTAGAGACCTTTAAGATTCTGGGAGGAGAGGATTCATCTAGAAACTCCAGTCAAACACCAAACTTATGGTGGGTTTACAGTCATAGTTCCAGTTAAGACTTCTCATTCACATACCCAGCCGGTAGAAATTGAACTAAATATTTAATAAATAACGTGAAGGGTCCACCAAACTAAAGCATCATTGAAGTTATTTGTCTTCTTTACTTAGTAAAGAAACAACTACTTTTAAATTTTGAGGTTAAACAGTTACTCCAACTGTTCTTTAGTTTCATTTCCTCCCAGGATGTACTTTTTTTTTTTTTTTAAATAGGGCATGTAACTCGAAAACAAGTTTAATGTAAGATTGTTGATCACAAAAATCAAGAGAGAGGGGGAGGGGCAAAAGGAGAGCTGAGAGAAGGCAGCCCACCTGCAACACAGGCACCTGTTTCAGTATGAAGCAGTAGGGAGGGGGAGAATGAAGTGTGCTTTCCACTACTTCAGGTCCTTTCCTTGATGAATGGTCTGGAAATGTACAAAACAAGGGCATCACAGACCAAGGGGGCACGTTCCACACAATACTTAGCACAGTATGTCACTCGTATCTTATATTAAACATCGGTGAATATCTTTTTGATGTTCACACAGGAGTTGGGATTATTGTTCGTGGTGCAGGTGGCGGTGGAATTGCCCGTTTTGAAAGGGGTCTGGGGAAAAGCACTGTGGTTCATATCCCCCTCTTCGATCACCATATACTCCGACTTACTTAGAGTCGAGTTGCTCCGTGCTTTTCGGAGCTCCTCAGCTGAAGAGGAGAGGTGCTGGCAACTTCCCACGTGCATGTATTGGGCTTGCTCTTCCCCTTCTGTCTCCCGGTGGTAGAAGTAATTGAAGTTGGAAACAATAACAGGAACTGGCAATGCAATGGTCAAGACACCAGCGATGGCACAAAGAGACCCCACGATCTTGCCCCCTATGGTCACTGGGTGCATATCTCCATACCCGACTGTTGTCATGGTTACCACGGCCCACCAGAAGGCATCCGGGATACTACTAAAACCTGAAGTGGGGTCGTCTGCCTCGGCAAAGTAGACCGCACTGGAGAAAAGGATGACCCCAATAAAGAGGAAGAAGATGAGCAGCCCCAACTCCCGCATGGAAGCCTTCAGTGTCTGCCCCAGAATCTGCAGCCCCTTGGAGTGGCGGGAGAGTTTGAAGATGCGGAAGACCCTCACCAGGCGAATGACCCTGAGGATAGCCAGGGACATGGCCTGCTGTCCGTTGCCCTGTCGCTCAGCCAGCTCGGTGCCCAGGGTGATAAAATATGGGATGATGGCCACAATGTCTATCAGGTTCATGATGTTTCTTGAGAACGTGGCCTTGCTGGGGCAAGCGAAGAATCGCACCAGCAGCTCAAAGGAGAACCAGATGATGCACAGGGTCTCCACCACGAAGAAGGGATCCGAGAAGCTGGAGGCTCCCGCGGGAGCCCCCGACGTGCTGTTGCTGGCCGCCTCAAGTACCTCCTGCGACGGCGAGGCCGGGTAGTCCTTCTCATCGCGGAACTCGGGCAGCGTCTCCAGGCAGAAGATGACAATGGAGATGAGGATGACGAGCACGGACACGATGGCAATGCCCCGGGCCGGCCCCGAGCTCTCGGGGTACTCGAAGAGCAGCCACACCTGGCGCTGGAAGTCGCGGCGGGGCAGGGGCCGCTCCTCCTCCCGCAGGAAACCCTCGTCCTCGCGGAACTTCTCCATGGCCTCCTCTCCCAGCTGGTAGAAGCGGATCTCCTCGGAGAAGATGTCGATGGGCACGTTGACCGGGCGGCGGATGCGGCCCCCGGATTGATAGTAGTAGAGGATGGCGTCGAAGCTGGGCCGGTTGCGGTCGAAAAAGTACTCATTGCGGAGCGGGTCGAAGTACCTCATGCGCCGCTTGGGGTCGCCCAGCAGCGTCTCTGGGAACTGGCAGAGGGTCTTCAGCTGCGTCTCGAAGCGCAGCCCCGAGATGTTGATGACCACGCGCTCCCCGCAGCAGTCCTGCTCACCCGCAGCCGGCAGCGCGGGCGGGAGCGGCTCATAGCGGTCACAACCGCCTCCGCCGCCGCCACAGCCGCCCTGAGGCTGGCCTCCGCCGCCGTCGGCCGTCTCCGGCTCCTGCAGGTGGTCCCCGGGCACCACGGTCATGTCGGGCGGCAGCTCGGGGCCTGCGGCGAGCTCGGCGTAGCCGGGGTTCACCAGAGTCTGGGCGCCGCCGCCGCTCGCAGGGTCCTGGGGAGGGTGGGTGCGGTGGTGGGCGAAGGGCTGCGGCGGCGAGTGCAGAAGGCTGATGTGCTCGTCCATGCAGTGGGGAAGAGGCGGCGGTGGCGGGGCCCAGTCGCTCCTCCTCGCGCTCCCCGCCCTTTCGCCGCCTCCGCCCCCTCCGTCCCCGAGCCCAGCCCGCCGCCTGTTGCTGCCGCCGCGGCGAGGCTCCGTCTGGGTCTGGCGCTGTGCGCCCGGCAGCTCAGCAGAGACGCCTCCTCACCCCTCCTCCGCCCCCTCCCGCGGGGCGCGCGCCCGCCCATCCGCGTCCCCCAGGACTCCCGCCCACCGCGCGGGCGCGCGCCCCGCTTTCTTGGGGAGCCGCGGGCCTGTCCTTCTCGGCCGCCCTCATCGCAGCTCTGAGTCACCGAAGCACCCTCATTTTGCACCTTGAGGTCCCCCGCAACCCCTACCCGGCCAAACTGACCCTCGGGGAATTCAGCCGCAGACCTTGACCCTGGACTCAGCATCCCCACCCCCCCTCCCGCGCGGTTCGCGTGGCGGTGTCCCAATCCCCAGGCTTCTGCAACTGCGGCAGGGACCACACCTCCGCCTGAAAGCGTAGGCCTCTTGGTCCCCTACTCTCCACCTAGGTCTGCCCGCCTGGGGGAAGCAGGTACCTCGGAGCCGAAGTAGCCGAAGCTGGGGGCTGGGGGAGAAGGGAGACCAAGAAGTGACCCCTTGCCATGGCCTGAGCATTAAGGAGGGAGGGAGTGCAGGCCAGGTGAGCTCCCTGGGCAGGAGGCAAGTCTAGTGCCAGCATCTTGAGCTCACTTGAGGATAGAGGACCGACCGCCCAGACCTGAGGTGGGTATTCTAAATAATTTAACTTCTGTTTGGATGTGAAGCCAAACGAAGTAATAGGTGCTGATGGGTTTCTCCCCTGGAGTCAGAAAGAAGTGGGTCATGAAAGGCATTTGGGGATTTGCTCCTGTAGTGAATAGTTAACGCGGGACAGACTCATGACCAAATTACTGGTTTGGGATTAGCAGGGGCAGTGGACTTTAGAGTACTTGAGAATTTCTTGTAGATGGGAAAATAAAAGGAAAAATAGAAAAGGAAATTCACTACATCTAATTTGTGTGGTTAAAAATCCCCACTCTGTGACTTAAGCCTGTCCTGGGAAGGACAGGAGCAGGACCTATGCCTAGACTCTACTTATTAATGTGCTACCACTGTCTTATGGTAGGGAATCTGCCTTGGTCTAGTGGGTCAAGAGGGTGAACATTCATTTTGCAAATTGTGTCACTGTTGCTGGATTTGGGGCCAGAGATAACTTACATTTATCCATTTGGAACTTAAACTACTTTTCTCCAAATTATTGTGGTCACTTAGAGCACAATTTCTTTCTCCAGAAATTTTATCGACCCCAGTGTACGTCAATCCTAGTCTTACAAAAGTCTTTCGTCCTGTTGTGTCATTCAAATCATTTACAAAAGAGGAACTGTTGTCTAGAGAACTCATCCATCCAAAGTGAGCTGAAAATTCGATTTGAAGTAAGAGTGATTCATGGTCATGCCTTCCCACCACTGCTCTCAACGGCCAGGCTTTCTAGGGTAAAGAGTAGGTAGGTCTTACCCAATTTCAGTTCCTAGCAACTGTGAGAATGCCTTGGAAATAGTAGGAACTTGGCATATGTTTGTTGAGTTAAATTCTCCACCAAATGATTCTTTGCATTTCTTTCTGCTCAAGGAGGCAACATTCCTTTTTGTGTTTAGGACCCTACTGAGAATTCTGGGATAAAGAATAAAGGGAAGCATCTCACGCTACAATACCTTAATCAGTTATTCCAGAGTTTCCACCTTTGGCTCTTCTGAGCACAAACAAGCACCCATGCTCTTTACTATGCCTAAGCAGTAACATATGTTGTGAAATGGTGAATCTGGACAACTGTGTAAAATACTCTCACGCAAATCTCAGAACAATGCTTTATGTGACAGTCACTTCATTATTTTACATATATTTTTTGAGCTGGCAGTTGGGATAGCAGTATAATCAATCATTCATATATTTAAATCTAAGAATGAGCCAGACTACTTGCTACAAGGATAGCTCACAGAAAGGCAAAGACCCTATTTTTAAAGACCAAATGTTTCATGCACTTCTGTGTCTGATTTGGAAAGTGATTTATTCTTCCTTTCGCAGGAATTAGTACTGAAATTAATATTAATCAATGGCAAGAAGACCAGAGCAGAGGATGGTCCTGTGATGGATGGTCACAAGCTGTGACCTGCTGCGAAGTATCTCTCCTTTAGAAATGAATATTTCCATTCCTTTCATGTATTTTCCTTGTCTGAAAGACTCTGCTTATGAGCTTCTTAGGATGGCTCTTTAGATTTGAGGCCCAGAGAAGTTTTTGCAATCTGTTCAGCTCACATAGCTTGATAGTGGCAGAACTGGGTCTAAAGTATTGGATCATTTCCAAATCCAGCATTTGCTTTACTGTATCACACTGTGAAACTCTTAGGTTGATCACTTAGTAAATACTAGATGTCTAACAGCAGCCTATTTGCTTCTGATTGCCAACTAGTTCATTTCAATTCAAATTTATTTTAACTGAAAACCACTGCCTTCTGACGGCTACTCTGTTGTCTATAGGAAATGAGTTGGTGGGTGCATTCCAGCCCTGTTGGACAGCAGAACCCATCACAACAAATCAGTGTCAAAAATGGCATTTCAAAAGGAACACATACTATTTATTTAGTACCTCCAACAGAGTAGCTCAAAGTGATTTGAAAATGTCTCATTAATCCTCATGACACCCCTGTGGGATAATAATAATATTATTATAATGTTTAAGGGCAGAATTGTGGCAAAGCAAACAGCTTCTCTGAGCATGTGCAGGATTGTCTCATATTTCAGTTGTTGATATTACAGACTAAGTAAAGCCATCAGGTTTGCAGTCAGCCAGGGTAAATGTTGGTGTTTGGCCTTTCTATATTACTCCAGGCATATCTGGGGCTTCTTACTGACCACAACAGAACTAGTTCCCCAGTTGCCAGATGGTAAACAACATCTGGGATTAGTCCAAAAGTGATTGAGAGTGAGACAAGGCAGACCTAGAGATCCTAATCCACAATTATAGAAAAACGAATGGAGAAAGAGTACTCACTATGCCCCAGGTTCTGTGCACTATGAACTTTTAAGTATAGACCTTGCTCTCAATAGAGTTTCACAGAGTTGAGAAGATAGGATATAAATCTGTGAAAAATTTTACAATGCTCTTATAGTACAGAAATGTCATAAAACAGCCCGCTACCATTCTGTTTATTCTAGATAAACTGGCTGCCTTGCTGTTTCTCAGTCATACCAAGCTAGTTCCTGTTTCAGTGCCTTCACATTTGCTTTTCCCTCTGCTTGAAACACTCTTCCTCCAGATTTCACATGGCTCTCTCCAGCATGTTAGCTCTTCAAAATATCACTTCATTAATGATGCCTTCCCTGACCATGACCACCTGATTGCAGATAGTACTCCTTCCTTCTCCTCTCCCCTAGGTCTCTTACCTCTTTATTTGTCCTCATTTAGTTACTTGAAATTATTTTTTTATGTTTATTTTGTTCCTTGCTTATTGACTGTCTCATACACTAAAATATAAACTTCCCAATGGCGGAGTTTTGAATTTTCATATCTGTATCCTGCAACTCTAGAACAGTGGCGTGGCACATAGTGAATGCTTAATATTATGTTGAATAGGGAAAGAAAAAGCACAGGGCAAATATATAAGGTGTGTTAAGGTACAGTGGATGATCTAGTCTTGCTGATGGAGAGGAGTTCATTTGGAAAGGTATTGGTCCAGTTCTGGTTGTATTTCGTGGAGCTAGCTGAATGGTGCAGCTATGTAAGCATTGCTTATTACTTCTGAAAGTACAACATTCTTCCATTTTTTTTCTCTACTTTCTCTTCTCCCCACTATCCCAAATGAGTCTATCCTGCACTCCAGAATTGTATTTTAAACTTCTCACTTAATTTCTTAATTTTAAACTTCTCACTTAATTTTAAGTATCTGCAGATACTTAAAAATATTTATAGCATTTAACTCATTATCTTTCTCCCCAACTTGCTTCTCTTCCTGCTTTTCTTATTTTATGCTAGAATATGAGTCATCCCCACATCCTTCCTCTGCCCCTATGTCCAGTTGGTCACTGAATGCTTTTCATTCCCCCCTCCATGTCCCTATCAGTTCTGTCTTTACTCACTGCCATTGCCCCAATTCAGGCTGCCATAGTAGTTTCATAACAGACTCCCTGCTTTCAACCTCTTTCATGTGTCTCAACCTACAGGATGTAGCTGAGTTATTTTTGTGTATCTTAGACTTGATCACATTGTTCTCCAGGACTGCCATCATGGCCACATCTGGCCCCGACCTGCCACCATTTGCCGGGCTGGACAGGTCATCCACGTATATGCAGCCAGGCCTTTCCTCAAGGTTACTGCTTATGCTCTGGTTTGCTGGGTATTCCCACCTTTGTCCCACTGGTAAATTCAGTCTATACATCCCAGCTTAGAGGTCATTTCTTTTGAGAGCTCTACCCTCTCTGTCAGCCATGATTATCACTTCAAAGAAAATTCAATAAAGCTGATTATACATGAATTCAGTGATATTCTTTCTCACCAGAGTTCTTATGGCAGTTTGTTCATAGTTCCGTTAAAGGGCTTTGGTGCACTATATTTAGGTCTTCCTATGAATATATGAACTCCATAATACTAATAGCTGACATATTGGCATTGAATGTGCTGTGCCAAGCTGGGCACTGTGCTAAGCACGTTATATGTAGTAGACTCCAACAGCCCCACAGGGCACATTATGTCACTACTCTACCATATCACAGGTACAGAAACTTAAGTGCAGAGCGGTTAAGTCACTTGTGCCTAATCACACAGCGAGGAAACAAACACGGAGGAGTCCACATCCTTAAGCCATGCGCCAGGCCACCTCTGAGAGGATTAAATACCTTGTCGTGTTTGTCTCTCTATTTCCAGTCTCCAATATTGTACTGATCTAGGAGAAATGCTTTTCAAGTAGTATGACAGAAGAAAAATGATTTTTATGAAGCATGAATATTTATTCAGTAAAAAACTGATCGTCCATGATGGAGTTTTTCCTGTTCCACAATAAAAAGGCTATAAATGGACCTTCCTGAACTTGTACTATTTTTTTAATAGATGCTAGATACAGAGAGATAGTTATTCCAGAAGTAGATGCAGATCCAGGTCCTGACTGCATCCCTCAGGATGACCTGGCAATTTGTGTTCTCACACT